AGCGTCGTGAGGCAGGCTGAGAGCTGGGCCTGTCTTGGAGGTCCCACTGAGCTTTTGCATTTGTCTCTCTTTGCAGTTACAGAGATACTGTCGCCTCTAAAAATGTTTTACACAATATTCCGGTTGCTGGGAAAGAGCTGGCACATTCCCAGCGGTAGAGAAGGGTCACAGTGAGGGAAAGTTCCAAAATTGTTGTTATTTTTACCATTAGTGATGACTTTTTTTTAATTTTTTTCCCCCTTAAGTGCTGCCACAACTCCTGATTTATTATCTTGTCACTGAGAAATCTGTGGTTATATATAACCCTCCTTTTAATCAAATACTTTTACATACAGTTCTGCTGTTCCCAGTTCTGCTTGGGTAAAACAGTGTCTCCCTGTGCAAAAGCCCATCCCAAATACCTGGGAATTTGGGAATACCTCCTCTTCCTGTTGTTAAAACCTGCCCCTTCTCCTACAGAGAACATCCCGGGGTGCTTGGCCAGGTTTTACCCACATCAAGTCCAATTAGGTCCGTTGCTGCAGCAAAGCGTTTGCAAGCACCTGGCCCTAAACTGAACAGAGAGCTCAAAGGAGCCCAATAAATCACTGAACGGCCACGGTGTCGTGGTGCTGCAGGAGTCCTTAGCTAGAGGAGGGAGGAACGGGCACCCTGTGGCCCAGGGTGACCCAGGGACACGTGTCACCTCTGCATGGGCTTGTGTCGGTGCACGGCTCTTCATTGCCTCGGGTGGAATTTTTAAAACGTCGACTTTTAAGAAAGCCAGTCGGTCAGGTCTGCAGCTGGTCTGCTTCAGGGATGGAGGCTTTCAGTTCTCAGCAAAACACAAATCCAGGCATTCGGAAAGAGCGACGCAACTCGGTTGTGCTTAGGTGTTAGATCCCCCGGCTCCATCTCTTCAGGGTGGAGTTATACAAGACTGTTGCCTTCAATTGAGAATTAATCCTGATTTTTACAAGCTGAAAAAAAAAAAAAAACTCATAACTTGTAGCTAAGCCTTAGCCTTTTGTAATTCAGCTGTTTATCAACTGTCCTTGTCAAATCCCATTGATAGGAGAGCATAAATAGGAACTCAGCAGCAGCTCCGGTGACATCCTAGCACCTCCCTCGCTAACCTGCCTCTTCCTCGCTCTTCTGCTGGCCAGAAATGAGCAGCTTTTACAGAAAGAGCATTTTAATGCTGTCCAATGCCTGTTTAGCTGCCCCAGCTTAGAGAACAACTGGTTACATCCCTCTATTGTGGAATTCCTGTAGCGTAAAGTCCTTTTCTTTTATTCAGCATTGGCTTAAGATCATTTCCCAATTTGCCGACTGCAGATTTACCAGGTCCAACTCTCGCCGTTCAGTGAGTCTAGCATGTGTATGTGACTGTGAGGTTTGAGGGGTCTTCCTAGTAAATACACCGTGCTCAAGAAAAACATCCATCCTCTGGGATGCCCTGGTTTTGTATGGGAGTTTCCTCCCACCCGTGTACCCTGCCGCAGTGCAAGTAACTAAAATAACCCCCCTTTTGATTGCTTTTCCTCGTTGATTGTTGTGCGGGCAATTTATTACAGCTCAAAGGCTGATCTAACGTACATGAAACGTGATGGTTGCTCTTATTGTTAGGCCAGAGGTGGTTTTGCTTAGCGAAGAGGCAGCTGTGCTGTCTTTGGGCTGGCTCTTGTGGGTCAGGAAGACTGGGTTCGAGCAGTGCTGCAGAACCCACCCTCGGGGCAGCTGGATGGTTCCGATGGTCCTGGTGTTGGTTGCTTGGTTGAGCTTGGCTGTTACCTGGCTTTGATGTTGACTTTTATGAGAGAAAATTTCTCTTTGTGTTGGGCTGCTTTGCCTTTGGGGAGGCAAAGGAATTTCAGTGGAAAATGGAGTTTGTCTGCGAAGTCGTGTGGCTTTTCCTGGATAATCTTTCCCTCCTCTATTCTTGCTTTCTAAGGTTGTGCTATGCTATGTGTTTAGCTTCTTGTGTTTCCTTTGTGTTCACTTGGCACAGCCCGCAGGGTTGTCCTTTCGGGGGGCACCATCTTGGCTCCTCGGGCGACAACCCTGGGAACGTCCCCCATCCCAAATGGATTTGTTCTTGCCATGTGCTGGGATCTATTTGACTCCCTGATTTCTCTTTTCTCCTCCTCCTCCATCCATAAAAGAAGCACACATAAAAAGCTCATTTTTGGTTACAAGGAAGTCAGATGGGAAGTGAAGTAGCCTTTGGGCACTGTCATGTGTGATAAAGGCTGGTGAAGAAGGAGAAATGGAGGGATCCAGGCTCTGCTACGTGGAAGTCTTCCTCTTTCCACTCAAGTGGAGCTGCCTGTTATGCACATGGAAGCAGAGGAATTTGTTGGAAGCTTGACAGCAAAGGATTAGTTTTGACCGACAGTGCAGTAGTGTCTTCCGTGTTTCCTGCAATCTCAAACATAGCAACGCTGGCAACATGACTGTTTCCCAGCTTTTCTTGCTCCAACCCCTTGCTCTTCCTCTCCTGCTTCTCGAGCAGGGGGTGAAATGGTCGAGTGGAAGCACGAACTTCTCCGTGTTCTTCCATAACTTGCTCTTGTGTCTGCTGCCCGGAGACGCCCACGCGTTTGGGACCTGCTGTTCTGCCCTGGTGCAGAAGGACCTGCTGTTCTGCCCTGGTGCAGACCTGCAGCTGGGCCCTTTGGGGAGCAGCCCCAGCTTCGTGGGGGTTTCCAGCTAAACACTGAAGGAGCTGGTGGTGCCCTGAGAAAGCTTCACCTCTGGTGAAATACAGCACTGGGATATTTCCCAAAGCCTGTTCTTGTGCGAGGAGCAAGAAACGGGCTGCAATTTTTGAGAGAAACTGCACATCCAAATACCTAAGAAAAACCTATGCTTTCCTTTGGGGAGACTATGTTGGGCTGTGTGTGTATACGGGCTGGGGATTTTTGCCTAAAATCCCCAAAACGCATCCGGGAACGGAGGATGCTGCGAACCCGGAGTGTATTCCCACCAGCTACCTGGTGTCCCTCACGTTTCTGACCAAGTCCCTCTGCCATAACGTGGCGTTAAGCTGTGGTCAGATGTGGTGTCAGGAATGAGCATGTCTCCACACAGACTGAGACCCGTTTGCCTGGGTGTCCCCAGGGCTGGGGTGGCCTTTGCCTGTGGTGTTTCCTCCTGGGTTATCAGCTGCCGCGGTGTCCTCCGGTTTCCTGCTGTATCTGCTGGGTGCAGGGCTTCTCACGGGCCGCATCCATCGAGTCATCCTCCTTTTCCCCAAATGAGCCTGTCCCGCTTTCAGCTGTGCGGATTTCTCCAGTTACTTCCCAGAGCCGCTTCCATGTGGAAGCACATCAACATCCCAGTGATTCAGCAAACCTGCAGATGAAGGAATAGCTGTGACGCACAGAAAGCTCCCCCTTCCAGGCTCCCGTGTCCTTGGGCGCGTGGCTTTCCGCGCAGCACGGCCGCGTGCTCCTCGGGCCTCGTCACGAGCTCGCCCAGGTCCCGCGTCCGTGGGGCTGCCGCCGCGTGTCACCCTTTGCTCATTCCTCGCGTTGTCCTTCCTGGTAGCTCTGTTCTGCCCTGTCTCTGGAAGCAAACCAAGTGCTAACCAGGTTATTTTAAAATAAAGCATTTCTTAACTGCGAGTGTTAAAAGCGAAGCTGCATCTTCTGGCTTTGCTCTTACCTCTCAGCTTGCCACCTCGGTGTGCTCCTCTTGCAGAATCCTGTCCCTTTCCCTGCAGCCTCCCCTGTGCAGCGTGCCAGGGGTTGCATGCTCGGCTGCTGCCGCCAAACTCCTGCTCCATGGTGGGATCCCCCCGGAGGAGGCCTTCCTGGAGAGCTCCTCGCATCACGTAGCAGAACCTCCCGAGTGTCCCTGGCGTCTGTGTGACCACACGTGGGACACGGCAGCGGGTGTCTCCGCACTCAAACGTTGCGGCCGTTGCAGAATCGTCCGCTCCTGCTGCTGAAGCTCCTTTGAGAAGCTGCCTCTCTTGCTGTGGTCCTTGGACAGTGATTTTCTGGTTACTTGCTTTTCTCTTGTTGGTTGACACTAGCGAATGTGTGATGGTGTCACTGTGAAACATCCCTTCCTTCCATATAGATCTTAAATGCCTTGGTGATGAAGTGTTCCTCTGAGACAGATGCTCTAATTCAAGTGCCAGGAGCTTGAGCTGGCAGGATGGAGCAACGTTTAAATAACTTTATCTGTAAGTAATTGCCAAGACAAGCGCCCAGTCTTCCCCAG